CATCAAAAATCCAACCTGGGTTGGCAAGATGGCTCAGAGGGGTGAAAGAGCTTGCAGCACAGGCCTGCCAGCTTCAGTTTGATTCCTAGAACCTACATTAAGATGGAAGAAGAGAACCAACTTCTTCTCTGATACTACACAGAAATTGTGATACACACACACACTCCAGTAATAAATGTTTGAAAATTTTAAAGCCTTTTTTTGTTTTAATCCAATCCCTATTAGGAGTTGAAGGCATTAAGCTCAATGTTCTAGACAAAGAGGAATCTACATGTTATGGAATTTTCTGGAAGAGCTGTGTTTCTGTGTTCTCTGTGTGTTTATTTTATACTCTGAGATCAAATCCAATACTGCAATATTTACTTCCATGTTCAAGTTGTTCAAGCTTAAGCCACTGACAGCTCTTTCGGGTTGGCACTTACTATGACATGCCCCTCCCCTCTGTATTTTGAGTATTTCTTTGTTTCTGGCACTACATGGTACTCCAGGCTCCTTAGCAAACTGGAAAATACAAGAACATTTTCCTACTCAAACCTTGGACGCAGGGAATAAAAAATATAGATAAAATATAGATGTTTCCACCTTTTTATGTAGTATAATTGTTATATGCTTTCATATGACATACATAATTACAATTTTCAAAAGCCCAAACCACATTTCACTTAAATTGAATTTACTGGCATTAAGCTATTCCTAATGTTTTTACTGTCCTTTTAATAGCTGTACAACCTGTACTGATGCACCTTTTATTCCCGTTATTTGGTAATGCTTGTCTTATCTCTCTACTCCTGATTGACTTGCAGCTAGTCTAGCTAGGCAGCAAAAGATAACATTTCGTAATCTTCCCAGACCAGCTTCGGGGTTACTAATCTGTTGTTTAATTCTTTTCTCCTTCAGTGACCCCTACTCCAATCTTTACTATTTTTCTTCTCTACTTTGAATTTGGTTTGTTCTTCTTTGTCTAGTTTTTTTTTTCCTAGTTTCTTAAGATGGAAGTTAATACTACTGGTTTTATAAGTTTATTCTTTTCTAATGCATCTTTCATGTCCATGAAGTTCTAAGTAACACTCAGGATTATCCTCCAAATTCTGGTGTGTTGTGTTTACTTTTTCCTTTAATTCAAAATACCTTCTCATTTCCCTCTTGATTTCTTCTTTGATCTGTGAGTTATTGAGAGTTGTGTTGCTTAATCTCCCAACACTTGGAGATTTGAGATCTTTCTTTTATTCATTTCTACCTTACTTCACAGTGATCAGATAGCATACTCTGTATGACTTGCATTCATTCACTTTACTGTACTTAATAGACTGAAATACAGTCTATCTTCATAAATGCTCCACATGCACATACAAGACAGAAAAGATGCATTAAGCTGTTAACTATAATGTTACTAAAAAATGCAAGTAGATACATTGGCCAATAGTGTTAAGTATTCTACACTCGTACTGAGTTTATTTTGACCAATTATTGACAGAATACTGAAATCATCATCATGACAATGACTGTGGATCTGTATGTTTATCCTTAAATTTATGTTATTTTTCATGAATTCTGAAGATCTTTTATTGATGCATAAACATTTAGAAATGGAGGGAGCATTTTTCTTTGTTTTTGTTTGTATAAGGTCCTGAGAACTTTACAAAGCTTTACAAGCTAAGCAGGCAATTTGCCACTGAAACATGCCTCTATTCTTTTTAATTTAATTTTTAAATTTTCAGACAGTCTGTCCAAATCACCCAGTCTGAACTCAGCCTCCTAACTAACTGAGATGACAGGTGAGCAATACTTAAACTGGGCTATATTCTTTTTAAATTGATTCTTTTATCATTATGAAATGGTTTGCTTAAGCCCAAAACAGTAGTTCCCATCAGCAATGCCAACACTCAGGAGGCAAAAGCTGAAGGCTCGGGAGGAGTTCAAGGCCATCTTTGGCTATACAATGAGTTCAAGGCCAGCCTTGGCTACATGAGACTCTATCTCATTAAAAAGGGAGAAAATTTCAGAGCAACAAGGAAGTAGGGAGGTAGTGCATCAGTAAATTGGTTGCCACAAAAGCAAGAGGACCTGGGTGCAAAGGCCAAATATGGTGACACTTGTAATCCCAACAGTGGGGATGGCAGAGAAAGGCAGTTTCCCGGGACTCAGCAACCAGTAGGACTATTTGGTTGGCTCCAGGCCAGTAAGAGACCCTGTCTCAAAAGACAAAGTAGATGGCACCTGAGGAAAGATGTACAGGGTTGACCTTTAGCTTTCACATGCACAGACACATGTGTCACCAGAACGAACCTAAACACACGGGAAAGAGGGGCTTCTTTATCACTAGTAATATTCTATGTCCTTAAATCTACTTTATAGTAGTATTAATGTAGTCACTTCAGCTTTCTCTTGATTAGTGTTATCATAGTGTGCCTTTACCTCAAAATTCAAAATATGTCTTTATTTTTAGGATGTTTTTCTTTTTTTTTCTTCTTTGTTTTTGTTTTTTGATTTTTTTTTTTTTTTTTGAGAGTTTCTCTGTGTAATAGTTCTGGCTGTCTGAGAACTCACTTTGTAGATCAGGTTGGTCTCGAACTCAGAGATCTGCCTGCCTCTGCCTCCCGTGTGCTGGGATTAAAGGTGTGTGCCGCCACCACCCAGCTTAAGATATGTTTCTTAAAGGCAGCACATAGTTGGGCTTTGCTCTTTCATTTAATGATTTCTGCCTTAACTTTTTTTAATGGTTTTAGAGATTGCACACTGAGCCTCACATATGTTGAGCAAGCACTGTACCACTGAGCTACAGTCTTAAGCCAACTTTTATTTTTTAGATGGAGTCTTACTCAGTAGCCCATGTTGATCTGAAATTCATGATCCACCTACCTGAGCCTCCCCAATGCTAGAATCCATACACTACCATATTGATTTTAATTGGCATTTTTTTGGACTGCTGATGTAAGTAGATTTGTCTATTCATCATCCTATTGGGTTTCTCAGCCGTTGTTCCCTACTGTCTCTTCCTTCTATTGGGTTATATTATTTACACCAATTAACTGACTTAGAATAATTTTAATATTCTGTTAGCTCATCTCTTCCCATACTTTCAATTATTTGAAGAATTGTTCCATGTATTTGATTTTACAGCCTAACAAGCATAGTCCTGAGAATACACTTAACAATTTGACATATGTTTTCTATATGAATTTATTCATTCAATAAACTTTCACTGAGAAGAGAACAGAGGATATGTTATTTTTGACCCTAGGAAATATATTCTTCCTTATTTAAAAAAACTTTATCCAGTGGTTTATCCAGTGGTTTACTACTCCCCTCCAAGGCCAGCGACCAAAGGGCAGCAGCTGCAAAAACCCTTTGGCCTAATGGCCTAATGGTAGCACCATTCTCTGGTAAGTAAGCTTACTGGCACAGACAGAAGAAATGAAAAGAGAAATGAAGTCCACAGGAGGTACAAATGAAAAGAAACGTCTTTCCTCTTAAGAAAGAACCATGTGGCACATCTTTCCTCTCCCACTGGTATGTGACTGTGACTAAACAGTCATTCAATTTATTCAAAGGCCTTGAAGGTATGTAACCTAAGACAGTAAGGCAAGAGTGGAAGCCATGAGATGATCTAGGGCCAGAGAACTAGTCAAGGGTAATAAAAATAACCAGCACAAAGGTCTGCAAGGATAATCAACTTAGTGTATTTGAAAACACAATGTCCACTGTGGCCTGAGTGTAAAGAATGACCCAGAGAGTAGTACTGAGATGACATCAACAACAGACAGAAGCCAAAAATGTAAGAAATTTATTCATGGGTGCTGGAGAGATGCACAAAACTGCTCTTGCCTAGACTGTTTGACAGTATGTTATATAAACTGGACATGCAAGACCTATAGGAAAATGACCACTGAACTTTGCCAAAACAAGGTGGGATGGTCCTTCATGTTCCTGCTTCACAGAAGAAACTGACAGACATTCTGCAGGACACAGAGGAAAGCGACTGACAAACTTTGCCAAACAGTCCTTCAAATTTCCTGCTTCATCGAAAAGTCTGCCAGAGACTCTAGGCCTGTAAGCTGAAGATGGATGCCCCAATATTACAAGAGAACTATGGATGACTGTCCAGGCAGCCAGATGTCTCTATCATTTCTAGAAATTTGGAAGTTGCTTACAATGCACTTCCTGATTTACTCAGGTAATAGTATATCCTTCTGGGGTCTTCGATAGAGTTGAAGACTAGATAGTTATAATTTTCCATAGTCATGATAAAAAATAAATTAGATATAAAACTTTAGACTCACAAAAATAGGATAGATGATATTTTCTTTAATTTTGCCAACTACAAATAGACTAGATATTACAACTATAATTCCTGAATTTTACTATGTTAAAGTTAAAACCTTCCTTTTTGATTAGATAGAAAAGGTGAAGTGCTGTGGGATGGTCTTTCTGTATGCTGTGAATATGTGTTGCTACCACTGGCCTGTGGTAAGACAGGTGATAGCCAGGCAGGAAAATCCAAGAGAGATATATGGAGAAGAGGGTGGAGTCAGGGCAGATACCATCCAGCCTCTCAAGGAGCAAGATGCCAGCAGACTAGCAATGCCACGGCCACTTGGCAAAATATAGATTAATAGAAATGGATTAATTTAAGATGTAATAGCTAGTTAGCAATAAGCCTGAGCCATAGGCCAAACAATTTGTAATTAATATTAAGCCTCTGAGTGATTATTTTATAAGCTGCTGTGGGGACAGAAAAGCTTCTATCTACAGATGGCTCAGCAGTTGAGAGCACTGTCTGCTCTTCTAGAGGACCCAGGTTCAATTCCCAGCACCCACATGGCAGGTCACACCTGTCTGTAACTCCAGTTCCAGGGCTTCTGACACCCTCACACAGACATACATGCAGGCAAAACACTAATGAACATAAAATAAAAATAAAATTATAAAAAAGAAATTTATTCATAATATAAGACAACTAGAAAGTTTTAATCCCAGTCTGATTCATGTTTAAAAGAACACTCCAGATTTCCTGGTGACTCGGAACCGGGTAGCCAATGGCTTGTGGAGCAACATGCCTAAGTTTTATTGTGACTACTGTGATACATATCTGACCCATGATTCTCCATCTGTGAGAAAGAGACACTGCAGTGGTCGGAAACACAAAGAGAACATGAAAGACTACCACCAGAAACGGATGGAAGAGCAGGCCCAGAGCCTGACTGACAGAACAATGGCTGCATTTCAACAAGGAAAGACACCTCCAGCTCCATTCTCTGCTCCTCCTCCTGCAGGGGCCATGATCCCACCTCTCCGCAGTCTCCCAGGTCCTCCTCACCCTGGCATGATTCCTGCACCCCACATGGGAGGCCCTCCCATGATGCCAATGATGGGCCCTCCTCCTCCTGGGATGATGCTCATGGGACCTGCTCCTGGAATGAGGCCACCCATGGGAGGCCACATGCCCATGATGCCTGGGCCTCCAATGATGAGACCTCCTGCTCGACCTATGATGGCGCCCACTCGGCCTGGCATGACTCGGCCAGACAGATAAGAGCAGAAAGGCTCTTTATCAGTTTTGTACTTCTAGTTCGTTTCACCAGGAGATGACAGTGCTGAGCCTGAGTGTTTTCTAGCTGCATGACAGGAAGGCTTCCCCTTCCGAACGAACATAGAGAAGTGGGGCAAAAAAAAAAAGTGCAGCTTTCACTGATATTGTGAAATGTAAAAATAAAATTGTCAGCTGTTTAGTTAAAAAAAACACACACACACTCCAGTTAAGATTGGGGGCAAGCACCTATAATCCCAGCAATCAAGAGGCTGACGAAACAAGATTGCCTGAAGTCCAATGCCAGCCTGGGCTCCATAGCAGGACTCTGTCCTCAAAAATTCAACAGGGAAATGGATGTAGATATGCTCAAAATACATTATATACATGCATGGAATTGTCAAATAATAAATAAAAACATTATATAAAAACTAAACAAGAACAAATAAGTTATTTTAATTAACTAATAAAATAAAAGGCACCGTTTCTCTGGTCTCTAAAATATTAAAAACAATGATAAACCTGCACATTCCACAAACTGAACACTAAAAAAGTCAAGTGTAGTTTATGCTTACAGTAACAGTGTATTTCACCCCAAATAACAAATACTCAAGAAGCACTTAACAGGTAAAAAGGAAGCACACAAAGTTTACAATGTTGATGTTTTCCCTAGCTCCTCAACAGAGAACTCTGCATTACCTTTTTGGGTTCTTTGAGACAGCTATAGCCCAAGCTGGCCTAGAATACTATGTATCTCAGAATGGCCGCAAATGCATGGTGATACTTTTGCCTAGGCCTCCCAAGTGCTGGGATCACAGGTGAGTCACGATGCCCAGCCTCGTCTACACTGAAGGTAGACTATTATTCAAGAAGAAGAATTAAGAAGAAATTAGCAATGGGGGGGCTGCTACACTTAAAGATAAAACTTTTTTTACAGATATTTTCAAGTATAAAATGACTGAGAGACGTCTGGTAACTTGGAACTGTAGCACAGCCATTAGTCACTGCCCAGGCAAGTGTTTCTGCCCTCTTCCAAGACAAGTATTTGGATTTTTCCAAGAGCTGATGTCAGGGCTTTTCAGAGACAGAGCAGCATTTACAGGCCAGAGAAGGAAAAAGGTTTCCCCAGTAGCTGTACTCAGTGTGGCCTTTGTACTGCTCCACTGCCAAAGCCAGGAAGACCCTGCTAGAGAAAGCTATTCAGTTCTTGGGAGTCGGGAGATAGACTCTACCCTGGGAGGCTGGAGGATTGTGACTGGAGAGACTTGCAATCACAGGAGCACAATTTAATTTTCCACCAGTTTTGAATCCCAAATTCTGATGGAATCAACATCAGAACAAAGGCTTCTTAATTCTTTCAAGAAAAATACCACATACTGAATCTCAATTTCTCTCTCTCTCTCTCTCTCTCTCTCTCTCTCTCTCTCTCTCTCTCTCTCGTGTGTGTGTGTGTGTGTGTGTGTGTGTGTGTAGGATATTTAGCTTAAAAGATATTCATATAATTTTCCATAATTTCGAAGAAAAGATAGGCCAATATCAAATACTTACAGGAGATCTCCTGCATCTTCCAATCCTAAAAGCTCAGTGGAGAATTAACTCAGTAGAGTTAATATCTATTTGTCATGTGGGCAACTTGCCAGCTGTACATCTAAAAGATCACGTTGCCACTTGAACAGCAACTGCTTACTTCTAAACATGTATTCAGTTCCAGATAAAGATGGAAGAAAGCAAAAGCAATTCTACCACAGTAGTGTTCCTCAGCACTAAAAAGCAAAGACTCATCTTTCAAGAAAGGACATGATTATAGCCTCCAGTCACTAACTACCAAATGTACTTTGCCACGTCTGTTAGGTTTGGGATCTACACCAAAGAGGTCTTGGTAGACTCTAAACAAGAATCAGATTGCCTAAGCATAAGAAGCATAGACTTGAAATGTAGATCCAACTCTCCCCGGAGTTAGAAGGCAATACTCAGGCTTGTAGGAGGAACATGTGAAGAGGACAGTCTATTGTAGAGATTCAGAATTGGCACAGTACAAGATTTAGGATGTTGCTGGAGGTAAAAATGGAGATATGAAAAGACAAAACAACCATCACCAATCACAACACAGAAAACAATGACCTCAAATGCTCTGTTATTTGAACAATGACAGAAAAATGAAAATGCTAATAATAGCAGCTAACGCTTCTCAGCACATGCCAATAAGCATTGTAGCTGTATTATACACATTACGTCATTGAATTTTCAGCAAACACCATTATTATACATATTTTATGGTTGAAAAAAATATTACATAGAAAGATTAAGGAGCTTGTCTATAGTCTGACAATAAGCACAGAAGCTGACATGTAAACTTAGGATTTATAGCTCTAGACTCTTTTTAAATGTATTTATTTTTATCTTACTTTATTTTATATATATATGGGTGCTCTGTCTGCATTGTATCTGTGCACCACATGTAAGGCTGGTACCCACAGAGGCCAGAAGAGGTCATCAGATACCCGGAACCGAAGTTACAGAGCAACCAAGCGGGTTCTGAGAACTGAACCTGGGCCTCTGCAAGAGCATCAAGTACTCTTAACCCCTGAGCCAACTCTCCACCCCTTAGACTCTTATTTTTAACCACTGTGCTTAACAGGAGTTTTTTCAAAATTTTTAGACTTATGTGTATGAGTGTTTTGCCTACACACATACGAACCACAGGTGTGCCGGGTGTCCCTGGAGGTCAGAAGAGGGCATCAGATCCCCTGGAATTTGAGTTACAGATGGTTATAAACCACTATGTGGGTGCTGAGAATCAAACCCAGGTTCTCTGCAAGAGGAAGAAGTACTCTACTGCTGAATCATCTTTCCATCCCCTTTACAGGATTTTTTTTTAAGTCAAAAACATACTAAATAGCTAGCAAGATGGCTCAGCAGAGAAGGGCACTTAACTACCAAGACTGATGACCCAAGTTCAATTCCCCAGGATTCACGTGGTAGGTGAACTAGTTGCCCTCTGACCTCCACACACATGGTGCATGTATATCCTCTCCTTCAACATCAAATAAGTAAAATGTGTCTCTTTAAAAATTAACACACTAGAGAAAAATTCCAAAAAATACAAGAGTGTGCCCCCAAGAAACAGTCACAAACCATTCACATTGCTAACTACAAGTGCTGCTAACTTATGAAGATTTAAGAATGTTTATTTTACCAGGCAGTGGTAGCACACACATTTAATCCCAGCACTCAGGAGGCAGAGGCAAGCTGATCTCTGTGAGGCCAGCGTGGTCTACAGAGAGAGTTCTAGGACAGCTAGGACTACACAGGCTCTCTCTCAACAACAACAACAACAACAAGAGGTTGTTTTGACAAGATTTTGCTATGTAACCCAGCCTAACTAACCTCAAACTCCTGACAGTTGTTCTACAACAGCATCTAGGAACTAGGGTTTCAGGTATGTATCACTACACTCAGCTTACAATGGCACATTCGACTTTCAATTCTAAAATACAAAACTGTACAAGCATCAAGACAAAAAAGAAAAAGAAAAAACTCAAAACACTCATGTGTAACTGGAAAAATTAGGTTACCCTCAAAACTGCTCCACAGTAAGAAACCATATGCCAAAAGTCCAATGTAAATTTATCTTCTCTTTTCTCACACTGGAATTTGAGATTTAAGAAAGCCGTATGGGGGCTGGAGAGATGGCTCAGAGGTTAAGAACACTGGCCGCTCTTCCAGTGGTCCTGAGTTCAATTCCCAGCAACCACATGGTGGCTCACAACCATCCGTAATGAGATCTGGTGCCCTCTTCTGGACTGCAGGCTGAACAGTCACTGTATACATAATAAATAAATAAATCTTAAGAAAGCTGTATGGTCTTTGAGACAGGCTTATGTAGCCCAGGCTGGCTGTGCTGAAATTACAGGAGTGTGAACTACTCCCGGATGAGCAACAAGACTTTTTTTTTTTTTTTTTTTTTTTGTTTTGTTTTTTTTTTTTGGTTTTTCGAGACAGGGTTTCTCTGTGTAGCTTTGCGCCTTTCCTGGATCTCACTCTGTAGACCAGGCTGGCCTCGAACTCACAGAGATCCGCCTGGCTCTGCCTCCCAAGTGCTGGGATTAAAGGCATGCACCACCACCGCCTGGCGCAACAAGACATTTTTAAAGAAATAAACACGCACAAGCCCTTCTAATGGGGGAGAGGAGCTACTTAAAGATAAAATCCTTACTAGAAAATTAAAACAACTCAGACATAGAGGATAAAAGGATGAAAGACAAGCACTGCATCAAACAACACAATCTAATGAAATCTGACAAAACGCCATTTCTACTCTATTCAGCAAGTACTGCCTCAGTAAAGAACTAATCTTACTTCATACTCACACTTCTGCAAACAGTAATCACTAAACAAATGCATTTCTCTTTTTATGGAGGACATGGGGCCAGAGAGATGACTCAGGGTGAAAGAGCCTGGCATCTAGCATGGTGACCTGAGTTCAATGCCAAAACCTGCACGGTAGAAGGAAAGGACTGACTCCCACAAGTTGTCCTCTGACCTCGCATGCACACTGTGGCATGCCTGCCCCCACGCACACCATATACAATGAATGAATGAATGAATGAATGAATGAATGAATGAATGTGATTTGTTTTTAAAGAGAATCTTTCTTCCTATTCTCATCCACCCACTAGAATGTAAGCTCTAAGGCAGCAGGGTCCTGGGACTCACTGCTACATCCTACAACGTGCTAGACAGGAAAGGTGCTCAAAAATGTTTGTGTAACATGAGAATAGACACCAGACATGGCAGGTCGATAGATCTATCTTCAGAGTTCCAACCAATAGTGTTCTAGATTAGTTTAGATTTGCCATTGGGATCGAGGTCAACAGACCTATCTGACCTCCACAAAATTGCTTTTCTGTCTTAACAAATAAACCTCCATCCACACAGCTGGTCTAGAGAATCTAGAATTTGGGCTGAAGAGATGGCTCTGATGGCTGCTCTTGCAAAGGACCCACATTCAATTCCCAGCATCCAGAGTACAGCTTATGGTCATCTGTAATTCCAAGGGATCAAACAGCCTCTTCTGCTTCCACAGGTACCAGGCACACATGCAGTGCACATACATACATGTGGACTAAACACATACACATAACTTTTTAAATTAAGAATTTGGGAGTCAGCCGGGCGGTGGTGGCGCACGCCTTTAATCCCAGCACTCGGGAGGCAGAGGCAGGCGGATCTCTGTGAGTTCGAGGCCAGCCTGGGCTACCAAGTGAGTCCCAGGAAAGGCGCAAAGCTACACAGAGAAACCCTGTCTCGGAAAAAAAAAAAAAAAAAAGAATTTGGGAGTCGTTAATGACATCGACATTTACCTCTGCCCCACAACTATATCCATCTATCTGATAGCCATTCCTAAACATCAACTGTATACCAGCACTTACAGAGTCAGAAGTATACAATACTAAAACAATGTCTCTGTATTTGTGGAGTTTCTATCTCCTATCACATTCAAACGTTTCATCGCTTAATGAATATTTGAATTCATCTACTTCTGACCTTCTCCATTGCTAGCTTGAGTGACCCACTCTGCCAAGTCTGGCACCTGCAATAATGCAGGTCTTCCAGTCCTACACAGTTCCTTTCCTGTTAAGCAGCCAGAGACTTTCAAACCACAAGTCTTGTGTCCCTCCCATTAGAATTCCTTCAAGAGTTTTCCATTGCACTCAGGGGGGAACATCCAAACAGCAAACATGACACGTAAGAGTAAATAAGGTTCTTCCTTTATCTAACCTCAGTTGAGCTTCAGTTGTCCTAGTGGCCTTCGGGGCCTCAGGGACTTTCCCTAGAAAGTGGTGTTGTATATACTGCCATGTGTGAGACTGTCTCATCACCAAAATAACTTCTGAAATCTGTTAATGGTTGCTACCTCAGAAAGGCCTTGCCTTTTCTCTGCTCCCCAGATTTTATCTACGCATGTTGAATTCAGATCTATATAACACCTATTGCACAGCACAAGAAATACTAAAAATGGAGGCTGCAGAGATGGCTTAGGGATACAGTGCTTGCTGTGCAAGCACAAGGACCTGAGTTCAGATTCTCATCATACATGTAAAAGACAGGCACGGTAGCACACATCTGTAACTCCAGAACTAAAGGGAAGAGACAGGCAATCTGGGTGCTCAGTAGCCTGCCAGCTGGCCTAGTCAAAACACAGAGCCAGAAGGTACACTGAGAGACCTTGTCTCAAAAAATCACCCAACCAACTTCTGGCTGGCACATACACACATGCACCTACACACACACACACACACACACACACACACACACACCTTTTCAGATACAATGAAAATACATGATCTATGGAAGAAAAGTGATGAGTTATCTTAATAATAAAAGCATGTAAAACAGGGTGGGAGAAAACATTCCAAATGGTGTCTAATAATAGCTTCCATTCAGAATATATAATGAACTCAATAAGAAGAC